CTATAAAACAACTAGAGTCATTGAAGAATTTGTTCGAGGTCAAGAAATTGTAAAACACTTGACTTAAAAGGCCTATTTGGGGGGCGAAATTGCGAAATGACCATTGAAACTTCAGAACTTGGCATGGGTAGCTTGCTCAAGCCTAAATAGACTTGTAGGAACAAACGGGACCTCAATTGGATTTCTGGTTAGAAAATTGTAAAACACAATACTTAAAAGGCTTGTTCAGGGGAAGAAGTGCGAAATGTCCACCGAAACTGCCAAAACTTGGCACAGGAAGCTTGTAAAAGCTTAAATAGACTTGTAAGAACAAATGGGACCTTGATTGGATTTCTAGTTAGAAAATTAGAAGAAAAGTTGTAAAACACAAAACTTAAAAGGCCTGTTTAGGGGGCAAAATTGCGAAATGACCACCGAAACTATCAAAACTTGGCATGGGCAGCTTGCTCAAGCCTAAATAGACTTTTAGGAACAAATGAAACTCCAATTGGATTTCCGAATAGAAAAGTAGAAGGAAAATTATAAAACATAATGCTTAAAAGTGCCGTTCGGAGGGTAAAATTGTGAAATGTCCACCAAAACTACCAAAACTTAGCACGGACAGCTTGCTTAAGCCTAAATAGGCTTGTAGGAATAAACGGGACCTTGATTGGATTTTCGGTTAAAAAATTAGAACGAAAATTGTAAAACACATGACTTAAAAGGCCTGTTTGGGGGCGAAATTGCGAAATGACCACCGAAACTATCGAAACATGGCACGGACAGCTTGCTCAAAGCCTAAATAGACTTATAGGAACAAACAGGGACCTCGATTGGATTTTTGATTAGAAACTTAGAAGGAAAATTGTAAAACACAAAACTTAAAAGGCCCGTTTGGGGGGTGAAATTGCAAAATGACCACCAAAATTGCCGAAACTTAGCATTTGCAGCTTGCTTAAGCCTAAATAGACTTGCAAGAACAAACAGGACCTCAATTGGATTCCTGGTTAGAAAATTAGAAGGAAAATTGTAAAATACAAAACAAAAAAGGCCTGTTCGGGGGTTGAAATTGCAAAATGACCACCGAAAACACCGAAACATAGCACGGGTAGCTTGCTCAAGCCTAAATAGACTTGTAGGAGCAACGGGACCTCAATTGGATTTCTAGTTAGAAAATTAGAAGGAAAATTGTAAAACACAAGACTTAAAAGGCCCGTTCAAGGGACGAAATTGCGAAATGTACTCTGAAACTGTGAAAACTTGGCACGGGTAGCTTAATGAAGCCTAAATAGACTTGTAGGAACAAATGGGATCTCGATTAGATTTTCGATTAGAAAATTAGAAGGAAAATTGTAAAACACAAGATTTAAAAGGCCCGTTCAGGGGGCGAAATTGAGAAATGACCATCGAAACTACCAAAACTTGGCACGAGCAACTTGCTCAAGCCTAAATGGACTTATAGGAAAAAATGGGACCTTGATTGGATTTTCGGTTAGAAAATTAGAAGAAAAATTGTAAAACACAAGGCTTAAAAGGCTTGTTTGGGGGCTGAAATTGTTAAATGTCCACCGAAACTGCCGAAACTTAGCACGAATAGCTTGCTCAAGCCTAAATAGACTTGTAGAAACAAACGGGACCTTAATTGGATTCCTGGTTAGAAAATTAGAAGGAAAATTATAAAACACAAGGCTTAAAAGGCTCGTTCGGGGGGCAAAATTGTGAAATGACCACCAAAACCGCCGAAACTTAGCACGGGCAACTTGCTCAAGACCAAATAAACTTGCATGAGCAAATGGCACCCTGATTGGACTTCCCCAAAATTAAAATCAAAATTGTGAAATTCATACAAAGTTTTTTTTTTTTTTTCTTGTCAATCTAATATTGTTTTTTCTTTTTCATGTGATAGATTGGCAATTGTGGAAAATAGTTCGGGCTGCATCAGAAGATTTGATTTTGTATTTTGGAAAATATTTTGACATAGGATTTTGGTAAATGACTTATGGGTTAGATGTTTAGCATCAAAATATTTGGTTTTGTGCTTTTGCAAATATTTTGACATAGGATTTGGTAATAGATTTGTGGGTTTGATGTTAATAGTTTGTAAGTACTTTGTTATGAATGTTTCAGATTGATAGAGAATTGTAATTATGTTTATTGGGATGCTTAATAGCTATTAATTTTGAATTATTATGAATGTCTTGCACAAGTGTCTTACTATTTACATTACATTTGTGTATATATTGTGTATAGAAAAACATGTGTTTTGGATTATTTTGAACATGAAAATATTAAAATCCAAATTTGTGCAGTGAATTTTTAGTGACAAGTGATATTTTGGTCGTTGTTAATATATTTGGCAACATATTGTTTTGTCGCTAAAAGTTAGTGGTTATTCTAAGAACGTTTAGCAACCAAAACTTAGTTGTTGCTAAAAAGTTGATTTTTAGAGACCAAATTAATTTTGTCACTAAATAGTACTTAGCCTATTCAAATCTTAACCTTTTAGTGACAAATTAGAATTTTATAGTGACAAAATATATGATTTTTGGCGACCAATTTTGCTTGTCACTAAATGTCTACATACAATGACAATTTATTATTTGGTCACCAATACTTTTAGTGACTTGCCTTTGGTGACCAATCAGGTACTTGTCACCGATTCTTTTGGTGATGAAATTTGTACTTTTGGCGACCAATTTATTAGTCGCCAAATGTGCTTTTTGTTGTAGTGGAATCAAGGGTGTAAATATGGTCAGGCCCCTGCTTAGGCCAAACTATGACGGGCCGTGCGGGTTCTTGCCTTTTGGTCAGATAGGGCTAGCCTGGTGTAGACGTCCCCCGAACGCCCCGGGAGGGTTAGCTCCCGTTCTGTTCATTTGGGTTCACTACAGCTCGGACTCTTAAAATGTCACGGTTCCTTATCTGAACCAAAGAGTCCAAATCCGGCAAATCGTTTTGAGAAACTGATTTTTTGAAAAAGTAGTGCCAAACATGGACTGCTTTGCCAGATACAGAGTCGCCACCTAAATATTTTATTTTGGGAAATTTAGGAAACCCTGACTTATTTTAGTTAAGATTAATGAGATGTTTGGTTATGTTTTATGTGGTGATAGTTAAATTTAATTATGTATGACTTATATTTTTTTGGTTATGATTAAAAAAGCATGAAATTATATAATTTTCTTATTTTGAAATGAATAATTTTATATGTATCAAAATGAAACTTGCAATATTACAATAATTAAATTAAATAGATAACATTTATTGAATGAATAATTTTATTTCAAATGAAATAAAATGTTAGAAAAATTTATATCATTGAGTAAAATAGATGTAGATTACTGATGATGGTAGAACAATTGCATCACTATAGGTCAAGTACATCTTAACTAGGTTGGCACCTACTAACTTATCAATTATTTGCATTATATTCCACCTTAATAATCTAATACAAAAAAATAACGCAATGGAATAGTTAAAAACAAATTATTTATCAATCATCGAAGGAGGTAAACGAGTGAACGGTGGTCCCCTCCTGTGGATGCCTTTAAGTTGTATTCTTCAATTATCCCTAGCAAGATCCCCAATCTCTAAGTTCTTCTCTTTGCTCTCTTCCTTTCCTTTTCTTTCTCTTTCTCTTAGGGGCCCTCTAGGATTTCCACTTCAAAAAAGATAGAGATGAGTTAAACAAAGGGACTTATATAACATACACTTTAGGTCTTTGGCTTCTAAACTCGCCAAACGGGCCTTAACGAATCAGATAAAATAGATTTTCAATTAAACTCCCCGAGTAGCTATAAAAATTCCCATAGCATGCGCACATAATCAATTTCAGTTTATCGCGTCTCTACGGCTTTAAATTTCCAATTTAACATTTTAATTTTAACAGATGTGTGCCAATAATCAACAGATAGGAAAACATGATCAAACAATTCACACATGTAAGGATAACATTGCGTGGAATTTCACATTAAGCATGTAATTTCTCAGAGATCTAGGGACGTAAAGCATATAAGAGGGTCGGGTTATTACACTAATCTCCAAAAAATTAGGTTTACTTTGGCAAAGAAGCAGGAGCATATTAGGTAATTAAAAATCTATTGTACCTTTTACATGGTTAACTGAAATGATCTACTTTTAAGAACAATAAATGTGTGGATATCATGATAAATTATTCTTTTTTGGAGTGATTCTTCTGTGTGTTTTTTGTGTAATCCTACAAGTCTTATGGCATCATTGTATCTTTTCTTTGTGTAGAGGTTCGTTGTATTCTGATTTATATTTTTGGTAATTGATATTTATTTTTAGACTTTGTCCATAATTAGACTGTTATTATGTTCGTACAGATATATTCTTCATGCACTGATCGAATGTCGACAAAATGATTAGCTAATTAACTATCTGACTACATTTATTTATACCCTAATCTGCTTTTAGGTCCAGATGTTGAACTTATTCACCCGTGTTTTTGGGATGTTAAATCTATTTTGTAGGTTGAAATTTCTTGTTTCCCATCATATACGATATAATAACTTATTCTTTGCAATAAAAAGGGAAAAGGAATTCTCTTGTTAAGACCCTATGAATCAATTAAAACCTCATATTCATACTAGAACCATGATGATTGAATAAAATCCTAAACTAAGCCCAAGAATTCCATGAATAAGAACCTTTGGATCATCACATGGCTTATTCCATGAGTGTATATATATATATATATAATGACTGAAAATCCAAAGAAACACAAAAACAACTTATCATATTGTGGAAAGTAGAAAGTGCATGGTCAATTTTGGTACAGAGAATTAAATTTTTTGTTATAGAGTTAAGTTGATTTATGAATATTTTTCAGCATCTGTTTTCACATGACAAGTGCATGGTCACTTTGGTCTCTCATTGTCCTTATTTTATTGGTTTGGTCATCATGTATTTAGTTCTCAATCTCATCAAGCAATTAAAATTTGAGCTCTGGTATATGGATTTATCGGATCCATTCAGTTTGGTGTGTTGAAGATATCAATTTGTATTATGTTCTTTCAGACTAATGGCGATTTAAAAAAGGAAAGGCGACAATTTCTCACTCAGTTCTTCTCACCCATCTTTCTAAAGGTTATGATTTCTATGAATTGTTTACTTCGGCGAGGCTAACATGCAGCTACTAGTTATTTGATCTATGTATCATGACCATGGTTGTTAAAATCTTACGATTCATAATTCTATTCATACGATTTGATATGACTTTTAAGAAAAATGATTCGATTCGTACAGTTGAATTGAATCTTAAATTAAGTGAATCTTACAATTCAATTGCAATTCACTGCTACTCAATTCTGTTTGTAAAATGCATGGAACATCTTTTTCACCAAAAAAAGAGATCAACTAAGTATACTGATATACGTGATTTTATATGTATATATATATATTGATAAATATATGTATATACATATATATAATTTTGTTATATTGATATTTATTTCATTTTAAACACGACATGCGTAGTTTTATATGTATAGACATATATAAAGTTATATATTATACTAAATAAAGTGAATCTTAAGATTCATGATTTATTATTTTAGCAAAGCGATTCACGATTCACAATTTACAATTTGACAACAATGATCATGACCATTTTACAGGCATTTTCCATTACTTTCTTTGGTGAATGGGGTGACAAAAGTCAGGTAACCATGAGAACATTTATGTGTATATTTCACATGTAACTACCACTGTTGCTTGCTATTTTACACTGTGCATATACCTTTTCAGATAGCTACCATCGGCTTGGCCGCAGATGAGAACCCACTTGGTGTTGTCCTTGGTGGAATCTTGTAAGTCTACAATTCTCTCCGCTTATATACGAGTTCTTTTGGTTCTTAGTTTTTTTTTTCTTTGATAAATTTATTTTTCCTTGTGACGAAATTTGTCGTATCAAGGCAAAAAAAAGAAAGAAAAGAACACTGCAAATTTGAAAACACACTCTCTCTCGTGCACAGTTGTAGACCAGCTACACCCATCACCGCACTAGCCCACATGCACAGATACACATCTACCCTCTTGCCCACATAGGTTGGTGATTAATGATGCCAGCACAGTATATTGGACCCTTTGGATCTTTCTTGAATTGATGATTGTTACTTAAAAGATTGACAGGACCTTTACAGCCACAAATTTCTTGGTTGCATGAAACCCTAAAACTGGCGGAAAACATATGTTAGCACCCTCCTTTTTTCACCCGAGCGAAAATCATACTTAGGTTTTCAATTTCACCTGGAATGTGTGACCTCTCCTTGCACTAGTTCATCACCACCAATGTCTCTCACTAATTTTGTTTACATTACAATCTTGAGAAAATATCTGTGATACTCTTTAGAGTTAAGGTAATAAAACAACATTTAATTTTTATTATGTTGGATTGGTTATGTTCAAAACAATGCCAAAATGAAGCATTTTGCACTACTGCTGCTGTCCTGGAAGAAAAGAGCTTGGCATCTCAGATATCTGA